GGTGCGATGAGATTTGTTGACAAACTCGTCATCATCAAATTGCACGTATTTTGGACTTTTTAGCGTTTTCTCTACGTGACGCCATACAGTTTACGATTCAGTAATTCTGAACGGTGATTTTGGTGCATAGTAACTAAATTTCTCATCTGACCAATTTTCGTAATTTTCGGTCTTGCGGTCAAAAAGTTTTCCAAAATTATGCTACCCTGCATTTCTTTTTCCTTTCAGTATATTTGAGTGTGTCAATGCTAATGAAGACATCATGATTGTTCTACAAGGAAATCCTTTAAGGGGGGAACTATGTCGTTCTACGTCAAGGCAGCGTTATGTGACGTCACAATAGCGAGGTTTGGTTTTACCAAACTTCCGCCAGAGTTCGTTTGTACGTTTGCGGAGACGCAGAGGACTATGGGTAGTATGTGGTTTTACCTGTTGACTTTTGCAACTGTGGTATAGGTGTAACGACGAAAAGTGACCCCCGTAGAATATTGACCCGCGGTCATTTTTCTACGTAGAAGTTTGACCCCCTGGTCAATATTCTACATAGAAAAATGACCCACTTTTCTGTAGAAATTATGGCCTTGGGGTCGTTTTTCTCCGTGTGCATTGTAGAAAAATGACCCCGTAGAATAATGACCCCTTGTCATTTTTTCATGCAAAAATGTTCAATTTGCTAGGAACGTTCTCGTTAGGCGAATGTATACGGGTTATATTAAGCAGCCTTATGCTTTGTAGTGATAATTTCTGAAAGCTTTTAAGCTTGAATAATGAAATCAAAGCTATACAATACCTTACATTAGTAATACAAACCGTTTTATCCCCATTAAAGAAAAACAATATCTACATGTATTAAATTTGTTCTTAGGCTATTAGGGCAAAGATATGCGCGCATTCATAAAATCATTTAATACATTTGATACAGTAAGTTTCCACAGTTGTCATTCTAATCTTAAAAGGGTCATTTTCTAGCTGGTGTCGGAAAAAAAAGTTTTAAAAGTTTCCATATTTGATTAATCATGAATCTCTTTGATTTTACCCTAAACTTTGAGCTTTTGACCTTGGAATTTGACATACCTTTACACTAAAATTTCAAACTTTTACTTTGGCATTAACTTTTGGACGGTATCTGCTAGGATTTTAGATATCGAAGTAATGACATGATAGACTAAGAGTTCATTTGTATTTGCAAAGTCTATAAAATCTCTAGAAGACAGGGGACGTTACACCAACCATTTGTCAGGTGTCTGTGGTCTAAGAAGTGTTGAATATTTTTTGTTGAATTTATAGATATCTTTGAAGGTTGAACTATTATTCACTCTGTTAATAAAAAAATTATAAACTGTAAAAGGTTTAACTTGATACCTCACATAGTTTTGGAGCTATTGTAAAAATAAGTTTTTGGACATGTTGACCTTTGACAAAACCTTAAATTACGTTGCTTTTCTTAGTTCTATGCTATGTTTTGGCATTTGAAAAATTTTTCAAAGTTTATGGTTATCAGAAACATATCATGCCATTTTCGGAACAAAACCTTTGAATGATAAAAAGACACCCCAAAATATACTAGTTATCATATTTATACTCCTCAATGAAGAAGGAAATAGAGATCACGAACAGTATTCAATATCAAAGTCCATAAAACAATACAGAATTGTAGCAAAGCAAACACGGACCTCCGAAACATCAGATGTGGGATCAGGTGCCAGCCATGGAGGAGTGAGCCCCCTTGCTGACCGGTCACACGCCGTGTGCTCCTGTCATGATCGGGAAATAACGGAAAAATCCGTCGTCAATTCAGTGTATAAATAATGGACTAACAATTTGTATGAAAAACGTAAGTCAGCATTTGACTCAATGATGAATTGTATTTGCTGACAAGGTCATTGTATCAACCATAGAGCTTAAAAAATGATGACGTTAAACGAGACTGCTGATATTCTTGTTTCATCAACTTGCTTGTCAGTAATTCACCTCGTTTTAGAAATTGTTCATACGTAGAGCATGCTCTTGCGTATCGAATCAACTGAGATATATAAACTCCGTATGCAGGTGATGAAGGTATATTGCTGCATAAGTAAGGGAGGTTGACGATAGAAAAGTTTAAGTCATCAAGTTTATCATATATCTAGGTTGTTAGATTACCATTAACGTCTTTTTCAAGTAAAATGTCCAAGTATGAAACAGATGTGTCAGACTCTGTGGTATCTTTTTATCTCAAGCTCACCAGGATATATCGTATCAAAGTAGGAATGGAAATTACCATTGTTAATTGACGATACGTCGCTCGTCGATATATCTAAATGTCGATTTGAAGGCCACAGCAAGTGTTTTCTTCTTTTCACGCATAAGATTTTGCACAATTTCTGGTTCATATGAATACAAAAATAGGTCTGCTGATAACGGAGCGCAATTGGTACCCATGGGAATTCCAATAGATTGTTGGAAGACCTGGTCTCCAAAAACAACATACAAATTGTCAATCAGAAACTCAAACATCTTGTTGACGTCAACTTCAGAGAACTTGTGTGTGCAATCAGAAAGAGTTTTAACAAAATAATTTTGCAAATGACCAATGACCAGGTAAGTAAATTTACGAGTTCCTTTTTTATTGAAAAGGCACTTGTCATTGATATAATAAAAGCCTGGACTTTAATTTATCGTAGAAAATGGTTGTGTATAAACTTGAAAAGTCGTAAGTTTTTAAGCTGTTGATTTTGAAAAATCTTGTGATTTCAAGTTGTCCAAAAGATCTTTGGAATTTTTGAGCATCCACATCTGATTTACACCACTTCTTGAATATATTGTTGCACAGTACTCTTGAAGTTTTTCATTGGGATTCTGCAAGCCAAAAATAAATCCAAACCAGATTGATTGTGATGCTATTATTAAGATATGCAATCAAATATATGTTGGAGAGGATTAAAGTACATAAAAAAATTTTCCTACTTACGTATGAAAACACATCAGGAGACACAGATATAAGGTTTTATAGTGTAAAAAAGTAGGGGGTCAAATTTCTATGGGGGTCATTTTTTCAACGTGTGCTGAGTCGTAGAATTACTGGTCTGGAATGTTTTTCTACAGTCGAAAAATGACCCTACTTGTCGTAGAATATTGACCTGGGGTCATTTTTCTACGTAGAAAAATAACCCCCTGGTCAATATTCTACGGGGGTCACTTTTCGTCGTTACATAGGCATAACATTGTTGATAATAATTAACGTACACAATTTACAAAAAAGAAATTTTTTTCATCATTAATAACAGTTTTTTTTTTATTTATGGAGTTTGTTAATATTAGAATTCTCTTCCTTTGTTGATAATTCATAGTAATTTCTGTTGTGAAAAAATACCTCAATAATATGCTGATATAATAGTGCAAAAATATAAGATAAAATTCAGCAAAGAAAGCGGCTTAAATCAGGGAAATATGTTTAATTTTATAATTACCATTATTCGATTTTCTGGGGAAATCTAAGAAAAAAATTTAGAAATGTACTTGTACAGGTGTATATTTGCTTATTGATTTATAGTACATGTAGATTTTAATTGTATAAAGTCATTCCTAGGTTCTAATAGGTGTTGGTTGTTGACGGGGAAATGAGGGGGGGGGGACAGAATGAATGGAATGAAGAAGAAAATTTATCTGTTTAAATTGTTTCTAATCAAAACAAAATAACCGTTTTTCGCAAAATAGTTTTATATTCGGATGTTTGTTAGTGCTTGTGTACCCTTTTTAAGTGCAGAAAGGTCAATATTTATTACACAAGGGTACAAAAATAAAAGAAAACGTCATATTTCTCGCTTATTTTATCATAAAGGTATACTTTTTTCTTCGTTAAAATAAAGAGATAAATCATTTCTTTCAAAAAATATGAATTACAACATTTTCACACAAAGACTTTTCAAGATTTTACCTGTAACGCATGTCAGAATTGTAAAAAATACGACAAGAAAAATGGGGTGATACTTACATTGTGCTCCATTATAATTTTTCATGCGAGGTGGGTTTCAATGAATTTGCCTCCATTTTAAAGATACAAGTCATATAAATTGAATAATTGTTAATTTTGAATATGATTTGACATTTTTGGTTCTTTTTAGCGCATATTTGGAGTAGAACAATAATGTCTGAAGATTATCTATTTTTAGCATTTCACACCGTTTTTGCACATGCTCCTGTGTAAAAAATAAGCATATAAGGTATTGTTTTTAATACCTAAAAATTAAGAGCAAGTGGTCAGGAAAGAATTGTCAAAGTTTTGAAAATTTCACACAGACTTTTCGGACATAGGTCCCCCCTTAAACAAAGCAGTTTAAAATACTGAATGTAACTTGTTTGTTCAACAGTATGCAAATATTTTCCTAAATCCCATATGTTAGTTTTAGCATAGGTGGTGTATATGGCATGTCAAACGTTGATATATTCGATAATCTGGTGATGTATATTCAAAATCTTGTGATGAATGTTCGAAATCTTGTGATGTTTATTCAAAATCTTGTGATGTATGTTCAATATCTTGTGATGTATATTCGAAATCTTGTGATGTATATTCAAAATCTTGTAATGTATGTTCAATATCTTGTGATGTATATTCTATAATCTTGTGTTGTATGTTCTATAATCTTGTGCTGTATGTTCAAAATCTTGTGATGTATATTCTATAATCTTGTGATGTATGTTCGAAATCTTGTAAAGTATATTCGAAATTTTGTGATGTATATTCTATAATCTTGTGACGTATGTTCGAAATCTTGTGATGTATATTCGAAATCTTGTTATGTATATTCTATAATCTTGTGATGTATGTTCGAAATCTTGTGATGTATATTCGAAATCTTGTGACTATATTCGAAATCTTGTGATGTGTGTTCTACAATTTAGTGATGCGTGCAATAATGTTGCATGACGCAACAGAAAGGTAAGGACAATTTACATTAGTTAGAAATAACGAAAGTAGCCGGAGCGGTGGTCGACATCGTAATGCACACATCTTCGCAGTATGAAATTGGCGAATTCAACCTAAAGTCAAAATTATAGGTAATAGAAAAATTGTTTTGGTATCAATAGAAAAATTGTTTTGGTATCACGATCGAAGCACTAATTAAGCATTCTAAGTCAGTCATTACGTGAAAAGTGGGAATCAAGAACATTAATTTGATTTGTTTGAAGGTAGTTTAACACACGACATCAAAAACAATTTAATGGCTAATTGCTGGACTAAAGAATGTTTTATCCTATTTTTACATCCTCATATTGTAGTGATGTTGATTAATCGGTATGATTTATTCTATATAGGTGCTAGTTAGAATAATCTAACTGTGTCTCGCGACAAACTCTCACCACGCAGGGTTCGAAATTGGCCCATTGACCGTAGCACTAGTACAGGGACGACTTTGCAATAAATAAATAAATAAATAACACGACAAATTTTTAGGAGAAGGTGGCTGTCAGGAAAAGATAAATTGCTATGCATCATTGATTATTGTCATTCACAAATTTGTCCAATTATTTTTATAGTAAATGTATTGAAAATTTCCCAATATTTTAAAGCTGTTTTTACAGCCTGAAATAATAAATTCAAAAAATCATAATATATGTAATGATATATCATATTCTTGACAAGAAATAAACAATGATAAAAATTATTGTCGCATGTCTGCGGTGATTTTCTTTGATCTTTCTGTGGTGATATATCCCATATCTCATGTGTGATAATACTTTCCAAACATGTTTCAAAGTTTTTACACTCTATATCGTACAGTTTTGAAGAACAGTTTTATGAGCTCATGAGTATATGAAATGGTTAATTTATCAAAACCTGCCACTAAAAATTCAAAAGTCCTAAGTTAAACCAAATTGTCCAGGGTATTCTTAGTAATGTATGTCAAAGGTCAAGGTCAAGTGAATTGTAAGGCTGGTATTTTTTCTTTTGTTTTATGGCAATCAATGCACATGGTAAATAGCATAAAGTTACCCCTTAAAGGTCTTATGCAAGGAGCCAATTGAACTCAGTCTAATGTAGTTCTATGTATAAGAGACAATAATATTTCCTTTCTTTTTTCATTTTCAGCAACTTTATGTAGGTCTACAGTTTTAATTTTGGACTCATGCACTAGGAATATCCCATCAGCAGAATTGTGCCACTGAATCAAAGGGAACTCTTTATTTTAGGTACGCATGATCGATGTAACTTCTTCGATGGTGTGTTGGCTGTTTGCCCATGTGTATTTCGGGGTATAGGTATGTTTACTCTCAATTTTCTTTCTTAAAAGCCGCATAAGGGGTATTTTTTTTCTGATCTCAAATTTTTTCTAAGCATTAATCTTTTTTCTCATTCATGAGTAATCTGCTGAGAGTCTAGTTAATTAATTTATTTAATTAAAGCCATATAGTGAAATTATTTCCTTGTGTGAGACCTAAAGAAAAATCAGGTTACTCGTTTTTATGACAATTTCTTTGATTTCAGGAGTAGCCTCCCCTTTTAAATATCCAAAATGGTGATTTTACAGTGCGGCATGCAGTCTGGTCATCAACGGAGAGTTTTGACACCCGTAATACCCATATTTCTGCCACTCACCTCTGTAACCTTTGTTGAGTTCATCAGACAGGTAAGAAAAACAATATTGTTAATTGAAATAATTTATCAAGATAAATAAAATAATTAATGAAAAAACTCCCTCATATAAGAAAATGTCACATTTTACACATTGCAATTATACATCATTTACATTTCCACATTTTCCCCATTTACACATGCAGTTGAATAGATTTAGTGCTTAATAATACATAGCAACAATTATTACATGTAAGACAATTCACAAAATACATGAATGCATTTAACTGTGAAATACAGATTTCGTACATTTAATTAAAATGCACAGCATCAACACCCGCCCCCCTTCAAAATCTTGCAACTTTCTTTTTAATTCAAAGTCACTAGGCAACACTAAAGATTTCAACTTATTGCTTTTCAGTCCAAGACAGGAAGTTGAGGAATAAGTTGACAGGACATCCTGAACTGTCCTCGGTACCAGCTTATGAGGGAACCAGCTGCAGTGGATAGAGCACGTTACATCATAGGATAATAGGTAAGTCTTATGAGTAGTGTTTGTAGCAATTCTCGTACTTGGTCCTGCATCGAAGCTTCAGGACTATTGATATTTATATCTGCATGGATTCTCTTATGGCTTTGGTTCTTCCCAGAAACATGTTACTGGTGGTGGTCCCTATATTCTTCTGGCTTTTGTGGTGAGGAATGTTTCATTTCTAGCTCTTTTCTGATCACATTTTGTCTGGTGTCCGTCTATCTAGCTGTCTGTCTGTCTGTCTGTCCATCTGTATGTCTGTAAACTTTTCATATTTTCGACTTCTTCTCAAGAACCCCTGGACAAATTTCAACCAAACTTGCCACAAAGCATCCTTGGGTGAAGGGGATTCAAGTTTGTTCAAATGAAGGGCCACGCCCTTATTCAAGGGGAGATAATTGGGAATTAATGAAAGTTTGATGGTATGTTTTAAAAATCTTGTTCTCAAGAGCCACTGTGCCAGGAAAGATGAAACTTATGGAGAAACATCCTCAGGTAGTGTAGATTCAAATTTGTTCAAATCATGACCCCTGGGGGTAGGGCGGGGCCACAATGGCTGACCAAAGTTTAACATAGAAATATATAGGAAAATTCTTTAAAAATCTTCTCAAGAATGACAAAGCCATAATTGATCCTATTTATATGGAAGCATCCTCGGGTAGTGTAGATTTAAGTTTGTTCAAATCATGACCCCCTGGGTAGGGTGGGGCCACAATATCTTTAAAACGCTACTCCTTCTACAGTTTTGGTCTGATTTCAATATAACTTGGCACACAAGTAGACTTCACTAAGATACATAGAATAGTGCATCGGTTTTGATTTCAATGAACGGTGTTGCCATGGTTACTAGAAATAGAATTATCTGTGAAATTCCTTTATGACGCTACTCCTTCTACAGTTTTAGTTTGATTTCAAAATAAGTTGGCACTCAAGTAGACTACAGAAAGATACATAAAATAGTGCAGTGGTTTTTGATAAGTACAAACCAGTAGAGCTACAGTCTCGACAGAGACTTCTGGTTACTTTTTCCTAGCCACAGTGCTCAGGTGAGCGATGTGGCCCATGGGCCTCTTGTTTTTTTTTTTTTTTAAATTATCAATCATTAAAAATAAATAAATCAGTCGTAAAAAAAATTTGCTTCATATATGAAGTGCTTTATACCGACCCTTTGATGAAAGTGACCGGTGTTTTTTGCACCAAGAGTTAGCAAAGCTTGGAAGGTTTATTGGTAAAATATAAGAAGGGAGTTATGATTTTGGTGTTACTATTGTTGTTATTTAAGTTTGATTTGATTTTCATATTACGAGTATTATGAAACTGTTATTTTGTTACTGACCGATGGTTAATTTTCATTGTGAACAAATGTACAGAGATGAGGAGCATAATATAGTTGGCTATGTATATTGCCCAATTTTTGAACATACTATGTAATAAATATTAATAACAACCTTTGAATAATTGGAAAGACAATATTTAATATAAATATGATAGCATTTTTGTAAATGAGCATACATTTTTGAAAGGAAAAAAAAATTATTCAATTGCATTTAAAAAAATATTTTGTTTCATATTCTTGCGAATTATCAGATCATTCTTCTATTATTTAAATACTCTATCATTATGAAACCTTGTTAATAATTTGCACAAATTTTTCCATGGCACTTTCACACTAAGAATGCCACGTGCAAAATTATATACAGGAACAATTCTGAACAAATATATGCAAGTGAGTTGTAAATTTGATATGTAATGCATACATTACAAAAACCCATTACAGTGTTCACTAAAATGAAATGTATTGACTCTTAATATTAATTACTTAGTATATGTGATATGGATATTATTTTTGAGAATGACACAAGAAATGAAATGTTTCAGCATTGAATTGGATTCTTGAACCAGAGCCATGTGAACCTGGTCCACCTGTACCTCTCATTGAAGACCTGTTAACATCACCAGAGTATGTTCATTCTGATACCCCTATGGTATGGTTACAACATGCATTATATCTGTCAGATGAAGCCATTAAAAGAGCTGCATTGGCAACAATTGGGCAACGAAACAACCCAATATGGTCGTCATTGGACGATTGTAAGGAAATACAGAATAACAGCTTCCAGCTTCAGTTCTCAGTTCTAAGCAAAGGCGGTAAGACGTGTGATTAAATTTTTGCGAAATAGACTTTTTGAATTACAGTCAAACTTTGTTATCTCAAATCCATTATCTCAAATTCCATGGATATGTCAAAGTAATTTTGAAGTCCAAACCATTTATAAAAGACGGGGACATTTTATTCTCGATAACTCTGTATGTATTATTCTTGAATCCACGGATATTTCCAACATTTTTCTTGGTCTCATCGAGTTTGAGATAATGAGGTTCAACTGTATTGACTAGATATTTGTACATAAAGATGCAGGAAATATAAGATTAATAACCAAAAATCATATTTTCTTCTCCAGATTGACATTGTCACTGAAGAAACGGCTGTTGTCGGCTTACAATCTGGAGTCCATCAAGGCTGTTGCATGGGGTTTCACTCATGAAGATGATGCTTTGAGAATGTATGAAAAGGACTTTGATGCAGCTGTAGAGCAGTCAGGTATACAGCACAAAATAATATTCCTTCAACCTCTGACATGTTAACATTCAATGTGTCAAAACAAATAACAGGACTTATCCTGGTGACAATCAATTACTGAAGTCTAATTGTAAAAAAAAATATTCAATTACCAACATATTCCAGAAAATTTGCTTGAAATCTATTTGAAGTGGAAGGATTATAAAAGCTCTACTTAGACTTTGTTTGCTTTACAAAATCAATTGTATTATGGTTTGTTTGCATTCAGTAGTATTATGATTTTTTCTGAAAGGGATATGGTTGCATGAATCCGGAGTGTTGGGAGCTTCACCTGATGGCTTAGTTGTTCGACCACCAACATGCAGTGTATTTTATCAAACTCCAGAAGCCAAAGACGCCATTCCTGATATTGTAGAGGTGAAGTGTCCATATACAGCATCGTCTTCAACAGTAGCAGAAAATTTGAAGGATTTTTCATAGGTAAATAACATTAAAAATCTGTATTGTCCAGTACCTTGAAATTAAAAATCTTGGTGAGTAAATGATTTCAATACATGTATTAATTTACAAGTGCAACTGTTCAATATGGTATGAAGATATTGAAAAAGGATGGGATATGAATTGGTATAACACAACTTAAGTGTTTTTTGATTTTTTTAGATCTTAAACAAGATATCCTGTTCCTGAAAACCAGTCACCCATACCATCATCAAATTCAGGGCCAGCTACACATATGTAACAAAACATGATAGCGACTTAATTGTGTGGACAAGAGTAGACTGCATTGTGATTAGAATAGTAAAAGACATTGAATGGACAGCAAACGTTTCAAAGCTGATAGATATCTACTTTAACATTTTCATTCCAGCACTGATGGAAAACTGAGTTCTTGTTTCAACTTCTTGACACTTGGTTTTGTACCTCTAGAATTTTCTAACAATGGAAAATGGGTAATCATGTTAAATGTGTTGAATGTTCCTAAATCTTATAAATGTATGATATGATATGTCACAATCCATCATAAAACTTCTGGCTTATAAGACTATTTTAAATAGCAATGATGATTAATAAAATCTATGTACTACATAAAAAAGAATATCAAAATTTAGAATTATTTTATTAATGAATTGAAGATGTTATTCTCAAAGTAAAAATGTAACATTTTTGTCTTTGTAATAGATAAATTGTTGAAAACATGAATTTGTTGAGTTGTGCTTTAAAGGTAAATATACTTGAAGCTAGAGATTTAACATTATAAGTAAACCCTCTTCCAAATTATATTGTCAAATGAAGAATGGAATTGCCAAACATTCTTGTAATAAATCCATTCTAACAAAAGGGATTTTCATTTTCTGAAGTTCTGGTTTCAACTTCTTGACACTTGGTTTTGTACCTCTAGAATTTTCTAACAATGGTAAATGGGTAATCATGTTAAATGTGTTGAATGTTCATAAATCTTATAAATGTATGATATGATATGTCACAATCCATCATAAAACTTCTGGCTTATAAGACTATTTTAAATAGCAATGATGATTAATAAAATCTATGTACTACATAAAAAAGAATATCAAAATTTAGAATTATTTTATTAATGAATTGAAGATGTTATTCTCAAAGTAAAAATGTAACATTTTTGTCTTTGTTAATAGATAAATTGTTGAAAACATGAATTTGTTGAGTTGTGCTTTAAAGGTAAATATACTTGAAGCTAGAGATTTAACATTATAAGTAAACCCTCTTCCAAATTATATTGTCAAATGAAGAATGGAATTGCCAAACATTTTCATTTTCTGAAGGGATTTTCATTTTCTGAAGTACATGTATTACAACATACTACAAAGTTAACAAATATAACCATCGACATTGATAACAAATCAAAATTTGCTTATCCCTTGCACTTTGGTATGAATATCTTTACTGTTAAGTGTAACATACTTTCACACACCAATGCAAATTTATAATAAGTACATGTATCTTTAAGTAATTTCTTTCAAAAGTGGAGCTTACAAGTTTACAAGATAAGAACAGAGTTGAAATATTTTTGTTGAGATTGGTGTGTAAGTAGATGGGATGTGACATACAAACTCGTAATTCTTTATCCTCTCGTTGGCTCTTTCCACATGAATACGTGCTTTAGCAATCTTGTAACACAGTGCTGCTTCTTGTTTGGTAAACTGGCCTCATGTCGATAAAAAAGCTGGTATATTTAAGCAGACACCCTGGGGCAACTGGTCATGAATGGTGAAACCTTTGACCACCAAAATAAGGTCTCCAGCTTTGAACTTTCGTAAAACTTGGCTGTGACATACAATAGCTACATCAGAAGTAGAACCTGGGTACAGCATGGAGCAAAATTTGGAGCCACGCAAGTTACTGCTTTAACAGTATTGCAACTTTTGTACATACTGTAGGCCATGGCCTAATTGTCCATATGTGTTGGGATGTCCTGGGTTATTTCAAATGCATCCATGGATGATCTAGCAGAGGAAAAATCATAAAAAAAAGATTTTGGCAGAGACCCTGAAAAAAAGTTGGAAAAAAATTAATTTGATTATTTGTAATTGTGTAAAAAAAATTGTGTTACAGTCAAACTTTCAAGAATACAATAAATTTAACTGCATTAAATTTTTGCAAGTCATTATGATAAATTTTAAAACAAACCTTTGCATTTAAGCTGACTTGGAAAACATTCATTGACTACGCCATCAGACAGCATCTTGTGTAGTGCATGAACAAGGGTATCAAAGATGTTCGAAATTGTTGTTCTGACACAGAATCTATGAGCCAAGTCAGTGTACCGTAGATTGAGTTTTAACTTCATTAGTACAATGAGCAGTTGGTCCTCTGTTTTCATTGAAGGAGTCCAGCCATTTTAATAATCGAGATCAAATCGTTGTAACAATCTGACTAAGATTTCGAATATGTCATACTTTAGGGATGTATACAAAAGCATCTGAAAATAAATTTGTTTTAATACTGATTAAAATATTTCCAAAAACTGAAAAGATTGTAGATAAATTAGTTTTAAGTAATAACAATATTAGTCACAGCAGTTAGGTTTGCTACTATCCATATTATGCATTTATTTAAAAATTGTTAAAATGAGACATTTAGTGTTCTGGTAATTGTTGTCATAGAGTAAAACATGGTTTATACAGAGAAGGTTTTAGATATTATTCACCCAAAAAGCAAATTAAATGATTTTTTTCTATGTTATTTTAAATTGCATATTATGAACTCAACAATAATAACAAAATATGTTAACATAAAAGTCAATCTAAGATGTTCATCCCTCAACGGCAACAAGTTTTACTGAAATTGTTAGAAAATAGGAAATTACAATTGGAATTCCTTTAAATGTACCTTCTCTTCATTGTATTTAATATCGTGAATTGACATTGGCTTCCTTTTACTAGACTCTATTTCTAGGGCAAGCAATTCCTTTTCCTGTTGTTGTATTTCTGTTGAGAGGAGCTGCATTTCTTGAGTACAGTTAAATGTGCAGGATGCTGAGTAGTCGTGCTCTGATATCAACTGAAAATATATTGTAAATCATGAGTAATTCGATGTACAGTTAAAAGAACTGTTATATTATTAAAAATTATTGAAAATGTTTCAGTGTTGGTCATTTGTCATCATTGGTGTTTTAAATGAACTTTACTTTTTCTTGATCTTGACATTTTAGTGCTTGTGGAATCTGCAACTGGTCAATCTGTGAAGATGACAGGGACTCCTCACTTTCGAGTTTTTTCCTCCTTTGTAAAATAATTAAACTTGAATTATTTTTTTATTCAGTTGTAAGCTACTCTGTTTATACATGTACCCTTTTAAAGATTTTTAGTAAAATATTCTCAATTAAACTCCACCCACCCACCATCCAAAAACAAGATGTCAGTCATATTTTGAAAAATAATTTCACCTTTTTGTACATTCAGGATCAGAGAAATCCATGGCCTTTCTTTTATTCCATGCAAAATATGCAGGTCCCCCTCCTTCTTATCATCCTTAAAGTGGCAGGAGCAGATGCGATCATTCTGATCTCCTGGTTGGCGATCAGCTCGTCTAAAAATATATTATACAAAGACTGAGTGAAGGAGAATTAAAAAGCAAAACATGTTCATTTGGCATGTTATTATCAAATCATAGCCTAAATGACTTATTTTTTCATTATTTTTTTTAAATGTTACTTTTACTTGCAAGATACAAGATAACCATGTGCATAACATTAACAAACGGTAGCAGTACTTGGTAGTGATAATACGAAATAAAATGTAATAAAAACAGCTGTTAAACAAAAATTAACCTTGCTACAAATTGCACAGTTTTTGTAGTATATACTCTTCATTATTCTTCTGCTATATTGATTACTACGAGATTTAACTTTTTTAGCATGTATGTATAAATACTGTATCTGACAATGCAGCATCGTAAGGGTACTACTAAACAGAGTACGCTAGAGTACGATAGAGTACTTTAGAGTACGCTTAAAAAAATTTGTTATTTAATGCACTTAAATTGTTTATTTTTGTATGTACAACTTGATTAAACATTATAATAAACTTATATTGCAATATTTGTTTCAAATATTTGTTTTTAGCGATATTTTGACAAGAAAATAACACCCATAATTCAACGCATTAAAGATTACTAATACCCCTATCTTGATTACTATTTTGTTTCAGACTTACTTACTAAGGACTTACATTTAAATTTTATCAAATATTGAATTGATATTCCATGTGTTACAATGAAGTGCATTGAAGTGGTAAAATTTCCCGTTTGGATGGAACGTTCTGAGCTATAGTAAGACACACCCATTTCTTTAGAAAAGAAAAATCGGTCAAATGATTCAATCGAATACCTGTGGAACAGGTATTCTATAAATATAATAACCAATCAAATTGATGGTCTTCATAAACACCGAGTAAGCACGTATTCAACTGATACTTGTGTTATGCTAATTAACTCCAATAAACATGAAATTACATGATAAAATCATAATTATGCAATGCGTGTTTTACAGAAGCGGGGACTCTATGTATAGTTTTTTCTTATTTAAAAATCTTCATTTTAATGTAACTCATGTTGCTTGTAGCGGAAGTGGGGTGTCCTGAAACATTACGACAAATATTTCTTTCTCATTTCTAAAGAAATGGGCGTGTCGTTATGTTATAATTGACGGTCAAACATGACTCAGAACGTTATTTGACAAGAAATAACATCCGTAATTCAACGCATAAAAGATTACCAATAGCTAATACCCCTATCTCGATTACTATTTTGTTTCAGACTTACTTTATACTAAAGACTTGCATCTAAATTTTATCAAATATTAAATTAAAAGCGTGTGTAAATATTTTGCACATTCACAATGAGACATTTCAACATGTTTAAGTAAATTAGATCGGGATCAAACGATAAACCGTAACCTGAAATCAAAATTGAAATAACTCCTAAAATAAAGAAAACATGCAAATTTTATTTTAAATATATATTTAATATATTAAACTAAAGTAGAAAAACATACAAAAAAGTAGTTTAATTGCTTTAAATTATAAAATATTCCCTACTAGCGTACTCTAAAGTACTCTATCGTACTAGCGTACTCTGTTTAGTAGGACATATCGTTACAAGTACCTACAAATTTTGTCAATGTATCTACGTTTACTGAGTTTTTTCCCTAGCAGGCCGATATATCTCCATCATGTCACCAGGGTCAACACTCGTTCATCTCGTAATTAGTGCTGTAATAAACAAACTGATGTGTTTTTTCTCACCTGCAAAGTTTTCACGACAACAATCGCTTCAGCTACTTTCGTTATTTCTAACCAATGAAAACTGACCTTACTTTTCTGTTGCGTCATGCAATATAATTGCACGCATCACTAAATTGTAGAACACACATCACAAGATTTCGAATATACATCACAAGATTATCGAATATACATCACAAGATTATCGAATATACATCACAAGATTTCGAATATACATTACAAGATATTGAATATAAATCACAAGATTTTGAACATATATCACAAGATTATAGAATATACATCACAAGATTATAGAATATACATCACAAGATTTTGAATATACATCACAAGATTATAGAATATACATCACAAGATTTCGAATATACATCACAAGATTTTGAACATACATCACAAGATTTTGAATATACATCACAAGATTTCGAACATACATCACAAGATTTTGAATATACATCACAAGATTTTGAATAAACATCACAAGATTTCGAACATACATCACAAGATTTTGAATATACATCACAAGATTATCGAATATAGCAACGTTTGACATGCCATTGGTGTACACTGAATTTTTTTTTTATCATTAACAGTCTCTCGCAATGTTATCTCCATATACATGTAATGTAAAAACATTAAAGACTTCTGAAATGTATGTCAGAAAGTATATGCTCAAAACCATAAACTGAGAAAAACGAGTCAAAAATTGAATTTTGAATGAAAAGTTCCAGTTATATTCTAAAGATGACAAAAACCCTACAAGTTTATTTATTTATTTAGACCCTCTATATACTGCCCCACTATTTTTAGTCAATGAGAAAATTTATTATATGAAGGTGGAAAGTTTGAGCATAGCCATTCATTTTCAGCATAGGGTACCTTGCATAAACCCACAGAAAATAAAGATGATGAATACAGGTGAACAGAAATCACTAAATATTGTATTGCTTGAAAAAAACGCGTGTATAAAATATATTGATTTAATTTATGTCGGCCTATTGAAATGTTACACATGTTTGAATTCATTACCAATTGAATTAAACACTGTAGATTTCATAAAAAAAAATACAAATAACACAGAATCAGAGCTGTTAGTGAACAGTGTAAAAAGGACTGTAATGCAAATAATGAAATATTAAAAATAATTAAGTAAAATGTTCAAATCAAAACTATTGTTTGAGAAAGTGGTGTGGTGAATGAAATACTACAAAACACATCAAATAGGCCTACAACAAAATAAAATTTGTCCAACGTTGAATAGACAAACATTTCTGTAAAAAATTGTAAGCAAATACGCTCATTGAATTTTTTTTCCTATGCGATACTGTAGATCGCATCCATGTTGTTTACGTTAGTTGTCGGAGTCTGCAACCACGTGACTTTCATTGTCATCGGTGGGCGGAGCGTGGAAGCGTGGAAGCGTGAATTTCAAGAAAAGTCCAAATAGAAAAGTAAAGTGAAAGAGTGATTCAAATGAATACTGTATTCCGGAAAAACAGGATATATTGTTCTCAGAGGGTAAAAATTACTTTTCATTGGCTATCTTACAATTGTCATGCCACCAATGCTTTGTCTGTCCGTTGACCTATGATTCTCAACACACAAGTACGATAAGGCTTCCCAGAGAATATTGCCGTGTACTCGGTGCATGTACTTCTATGAACTACAAATGTATGACGTCATGATTGAAAATGACGCCAAGTCACCGAATACTTGAGTGTAATGATAAGGAGAGGTGGCATAAACTTGACACAGGTCTTATTTCAATCTGCATATAAAGATGCAGAATGCTAGTCTGAAATAAACGTGTTTTATAATTTTTTTCTTCAAAAATCTAATATATCCGAATAATTTAGATAATTTTGCTTCACTAACCTTGTTTAATAATTAGCGTGTTCAAAATACGTACAAAAATATAGTTACGTTTGACATTTAACCGTTTTTATACCCGTGGATAGAGGCAGAATTCATATGTTTATGAAAGAACCTGGCGCAAATGATTACGATGATTTTAAAACATCTTTTATTGAAATCTGTAAGGGGAGTTCCCCTCTAACTGAATCTTGTTTAGGAAAAATGTATGATGACTTTGTTTTAAAAAAAGATTGAGCTGAAAATATTCTCAGATTTGTGGGCAAGTTGAAGTTGATGTAAAATATTTTGTACCAGAGTAATAGTATAACTTTTCCCAAGCACATTTTGAGATCACAAGGATGCAAAGAGTTTTTTATTTATGTGACAAAAAGTTAACAATAATGTGTTAATTACATGTACCTGCGCCGAAGCGATTTATATGAAACACTCCAAAAATGAAGAAATGACCTTCACATGATCAACGAGGTCATGTGGTATCGTAATAAATATTTTTATATTAACATAGAGAACTCTCTATATGAATTGGGCGTACTTAAGTACATAACTTAAAAATAAAACTCAATATCAACGCTGCAATGCAGTGTTACGTTTTATATGCATTAAAAGCTCCGGAAAGCATTAACAATACTGCGCATGGCACCACCCTTAAAAACAGATAAACCTACTTACATAAATTTGTGGACTCAATATTCATCTTTACACCACAGGAGTCCTAAGCTGTTTTACTTATGTACACTTATCTACTTCAAAGTCCCAAATTTTATTAATCGTGGTCAAGAATTGTAATAATACGTTGCCTTTCCGTTCAAATTTTATTACCTAGTATCGATGGACTCGATTGGTCTATTCTGATCAATTCGAGTCAAAATAGATTTACAAAATTATTTGTACCAACAACAAAATCCAATTTGTTCTAATAAAATAATTATATATAGTTCATGGAATTTAAATTCCTTTTCTAATTAAAAAGTTACTTAATATTAATATTGTATACTATAAAGTTACATCTTGGTTTAATAAACATTGATCTAAATATGAATAAAGTCCAAGTTGAAAATGTTCAAATAAAATTTCCGTTCTAAACCCTATAGGTTTACATTTTTCGAAGAGCGTACCCCAGGCTTTTTCCCGGTTTCCTATTCAAATGACAGTAAATATCCTAATGATTTGGTTTAAAAAAAAAACAAGCCCAAAATAACCACTTGATAACGCATTACATAACATGTTAATGAAGAAAATAAAAGAAATAATTTAAAAAAGAAGATTGAGGAGAACAAACCAATGAGCTAGCTTGACCAAAATAATGACAATGGATATAATTCATTTAATGACAACGCAGCATTGTTAAGGCTGAAATAAGGAGGCGGGTACTAAATTTTTACGGGGAAAGTTTACTGTGACGTCAAACTAAAGTATGACTTTTTTGTATTACGCATAATACCACAAAATGAAATAATTTGCAGCTTTAACTGCATTAGCATAATAAACAACAGTTAAACTTATTAATGCATTTAAAAAAAGTTTCTAGTTAAATCCCATACAGCTGGTTATAAACAAATCACTATTCTCGATGAACTTGTCATTCATGACGTTATTTTGGTAAAAATGACGTATTTCACGTGCTGTGAGAGGCAGATTAGGGAATTTTTAACAATGAAAATGCGTTTTATTATAAAACAGAAATTTACAGGTTTTAAAATGGCTATTAATACCAATGTATTTCCTTTATTTGGTGCGATTATTCATTAACTATCGAGAGAATATGTATTTAAATAATTTTGTCGTGTTTTTATGTTCAGGTTAAGTATATTTTACATCGAGTTGCATCATTAAATCGTTCTTTTGCAAGGGCAGAGACTAAATAAATCTTAGCCATTTTTTAATTATAAATAAAGGATATGTTCCTTAACTTGAAAAGTGCTGCTGCTTTCTTTAAATCGAAACTGGTAACTTTATAAATACACAAAATATTTGGTAAAAGTCAAACATATTTCGACAGGGCCTATTTACTTGAAAATCTTACTATGAAAACACGAATTCTATTCAAAGCAGCAACACTTTCCAGAAAGTACAACATGTACAAAGTATACAGAAAAAAAATATTAGCTTGAATTTTTAATTTCAAATAGAGTATGCCCTTTCGATATTGAAATTTGTTAATGACCTACATTCAGTACACGTACTATGTATTCATCACGTGACTGTCCATTCATGGGACCAAACTTCATACAGTACAGAGTAGATTATACTGTGCTATTTCCATAAGTATTTAAGCTCAATGATAATAAATAGCTGAAAGAAAATGAATTCAGTTTTAAAAACAATTCTCGTTTTTGTAATTCTATTTTCCGTTGATTTCTCATAGCAAGCCTTAACAGTGCTGCGTACATCATATGCCTGGGCCTGACTTACATTCCTGAATGCCATATTTAGACCTTCAAATTTTTAAAAAGGAGGGGTCTTTGATTAAAAGGAAAAGGATTATCAAAAGGAATTGAAGTTACAAGACCGGAAACTTATTTAGCTAGCCCGGTTAAAATAAAAAAAAAAAAACAACTTAATACTGTCTTATAAAATAGATCTTTTTCGACTGATATATATATATATATATATATATATATATATATATATATATATATATATATATATATATATATATATATATATATATATATATATATATATATATATATATATCAGTCGAAAAAGATCTATTTTATAAGACAGTATTAAGTTGTTTTTTTTTTATTTTAACCGGGCTAGCTAAATAAGTTTCCGGTCTTGTAACTTCAATTCCTTTTATATATATATATATCACAGAGAAATTCACTTTTACATGGATACCCACTTCCGCCCCAGCCCGGAGTTGAACTCTTGGCGTTCGGAATCTAGCAGTACAGGAACAGCACGCTAGATCGCTCGGCTATCTAGGCAAGTCAAAAAACTTGCTTTCGATGCCGATGGAATTCTCACGGTGCTGCCCTATACCACACAGTTATTGAGAATAGAAGTGAGATACAGTTATTTGGACATTAGTTTTAACAGAGGATTGTTACCAATACACGTTGTAATGAAATTAATTATTATTCATAAAGCACATTTTACCACAACTCTTAAACTAATGTAACTGCCCTTAGTGAAAACTAATGTCCAAATAACTGTATCTCACTTCCATGCTCAATGACTGTATATGACTAGATATATTTAGAAACAGCTTATAGAGGCAAAAGGATTGTAAATACATAATCTGTTCGATAATAT